GGGCCTGCTCCTGTCTCCCCTGCTGGAGGGCAGCATGGTGCCCGGGACAGGAGGCATCTGCAGGATCCCAGGGGTGTCCCTGGTGCAGGGTGGACACACAGTGGGCAGTTGGTGTGGCTGGTGGAGAGATGACCCCACTCACAACTGGGCTGCCGGGTTGTGTCTGCCGCACATTCCGTGGTGACATTCCTGTCCCCAGTGTCACCCCTGCCCACTTCCTGTTCCCTAGGCAGGATCATTCACTGAGTGGCCGCTCTGGGCGCCAGGCGGGGGCAGAGGCACGAGGGGTGGAGCGCCATCTGCAGCCTGAGATAGCGTGGTCCATCAGGCCCCTCAGCCCTGTCCTGGGGGAAACGGGCGGAGAAGATGGAGACGGAGGTGGGAAGGGATCCAGCACGAAGCTCCCTCTGGGTGGCCACCGACGAGTGGCCGTGGCCGAGGCTGTCCCCGCCTCCCTCTCCAGCAATCACCCTGGGGACGCTCCCCTTGAGGAATTCAAGGGGGCCAGACTCATGACCCTCCAGCCCGCAGACGACCCTGGCCAGTGCTGTCCGGCCCCGGGGACTCCTCTGTCCACCTGTACAAGGAGGACATCTCCGTTTCCACCCTCGGCTGTGCATCAGAATGGCCAACAGCGGGACTTTAAAACGACCTGAGTCCTGGGCCAGATTTTCCCACTTTGTCAACCTGATGCTGTGTGACGTTCTGGTTGGGAGACAGGCCTCTGGCGCCCAACAGCCCTGGACTCCTCTCCTCAGCCTCTCATAGCTGTGTGGCTTTGGGAAAGTGCCTGCACCTCTCTGAACATCTCCTCTGAAAGCTGAGGATGGTCGCAGCCCTGCTGCCCAGGGATGTGGCACGAGGCACTAGGCCCATGAGTCCAAAGGGCTCACCCGAGGAGGAGCACACGGCGACTGCGGCCAGCGGTCAGGGGACCCTGGACACGTGGACTGCTGTACCGCCCGGTCCCTTCCTGGGGGGCTGTGCTCTGTGCTCCCTGACCACAGGGGCTCCTGGCACCCACCCCTTCCCCGGGGTCTGGAGCCCTGGCCACGGCCCCCCTCATTGACCTCCCTTTTCTTCTCCCACTGAACAAACAGCTCCACCTCCACAGCATCTGGGAGGACGGTGACCCGGGGCGGAATGTGCATGGTGACCTGGCCGCGGGGAGAGCCGGGAAGGCAGCACTCAGGTCTCATGAGGCCCCCTCACGCCAGCCTCGGAGGACGGCCGCGTCCCTGGGGAACGGTCCCGCTCTCCCCCAGCCCCACGGCCTCCCCTGACTCCATCACCATTGGTCCCCGAGTGGCCTGCTCTCGCCGTCCCCGGGATGCGCCCCTCCACCCTCTCCAGGATGGGGGCATGGGGCCTCCTCACCCCACTGTGCAATGGCTGCCCCTCCTCAGGGGCTGCTCCCTCTCCCCACAGGGGTCCACGTGGAGGTCATCTGAGGGGTCTCCCGAGGCCGATTTGGGGCCAGTGGGTGGATGCCCTGAGAAGGAGAGGTGTGTCCAGCGTTGGGGTGGGCGGGCCGCCCTGGGGAGAGGTGGTGAGCTCCCCGTCCCTGAGGTGTGCACAGAGGGCAGGTGATCCTCAGCAGAGGCCTCACAGGAGGCAGAGAGGCCGAGAGTGTGGCCTCAGAGGCTGAGCGGTCCAGGAGGAGCCTGGCCCCGCTGCCCGCCCAGCGTCCCACCTCCCGAAACCCATTTCCACTCGCGGAGGCTCCGTTATTTTTCATCTGGAAAATCAGGCAAAATAATGGTTCCTACTCTCCAGGGTTGTCATGGAGACAAAAGGACACAGTGTGTGCGAGGCTCCGAGCACGGAGTGCACATTACCATAGCGGGAGGGAGGGGGGCGGCGGGATCTTGACACGCAAGCAATTCGGGATCCAGAATGTCTGCGATTTTAGAAACCGACGGCTCCCACTCTAGGATTCAACTGTCCTAAGACACCGTGAGACTCTGGGGCTTTGGGGCTTGGTCTCCTTACTGTCCCCATCTGAGACTCCCTAGGACCCCAC